ATTTCTCACCTCCACATAGGTCTCTTTGGTAGAAATACGTCCATATGCGATTCGAATAATGTACACACTCCATTATGTTACACGACCCGCAAGAGGAGGGATGACCTGTTTATTGTAGCTTGTGGGCTTCGACGGAAACCTCACCAGAATAGTAGGTATGATTTTCAATGGCACGAATTTATCGTAGCTTCACAATGGGCCTGTTGCTAACTTTTGCTGGGTAGAGGCGGATCCAGCAATTTGGCAACACCGGATTTCGTCCATTTAAACCTGTGCTAAGTAATCGATTCTTGTCGGAACACCTGGCCCCTCTAAGAATCGATACATTTCCATAGGTTTAAATGGTACAAAATTCGGTGTTGCCAAGTTGCTGGATCCGCCAATGTTGCTGGGGCAAAAATAAGGGTTGTTACTCGTAGAAAGTGTCTTCAGAATCACGATGAGCGCATCTGAAATCGATAACGACGCGACGCGAAAAATACAAGATCTAGTGATCCATTACTTTTACGCAGAGGCCCGCCAGTCACGAGCAGCACGCATCATTTCCCCGCTGTGAACTCTCTCCTACAATCCTATTGGTCAAATAATTCCATACTGCTCCCCGTTCCCCTAATTCCATACAAATGTACATAAAGTCGCTTTTATAGCGCCGCCTCGCGCTTTGCGACGCCCAATCGCCATTGCCCCCTATATATCCTCCCAGAGATCATTAGGCAATTGGCACCTTCTGATCTCCTCCTCCACCCCTTGTCGCCAACCTTTCACAGGACGTCCACGCCGTCGCCTTCCGGGAGGAACCCAATCGAAGACCTGCTTGGGCAACCGGTCGTCTGCCATCCTTCGCACATGTCCATACCAGACCAACTGCTTGGACCTGATATCGTGCACGATGTCCTTCTCCACACCCATGATCTCGCGTACTTTTACATTGCGGATACGCTGTCTTCTTGAGATGCCAGCAGACCTCCGCCAAAAGTCCATCTCAGTTGCCCTAAGCATGTCTTCAGTTCTTTTCTTGAGTTGCCAGACCTCACTCCCCTAATTCCATACTGCTGTCAAATCAGACCAAACTACTAGAGGCCCGACTGGATAAGGAATTGTTGAAACAGAAGTTGAGCCGTGAGCAAGAAGTTGCGTGCGTTGGCGCGAGAGTGCGCGGCGAGCGGGATTCCCATACTACTGCGCTGATTGGCCAAGCGAGAGTTGCGAACGGACGATGTGCGAAAAATTGCCTACGTGAAGGTGGTCTGGCAGCAACACACCCGCCGCACAATGGATCGAGTCAATAGCGGAAGTCGGACAAAATTTGGAAACTTTAAACGCTTATAACTGTGCTTATACAAGACTTTGAAGTTCTGAAAGTGGCTCCAATAGTTTTCTCGTGAAATTTTCTTCAAGCAGCACCCCTTAAAGTTTTAAATGTGGCGGAATTAACAGCAAAATTTGCAGTTTTAGCCAAAAATTTCATGTCCGACCTCTCTAATTGACTTGATCCACTGTGCGCCGCCAGTCACTGGAAAACAATAGAAAATAGTAGGTATTTGCGTACGTTGCCAGCGAGCGCTTCTGTTTCAACCTCTGCGTCGGGGCTCTAGCCTTCCATACTCTCTGCCAAACTACGCCTGCTCCACTCAACGCATAGCTGTGAAATCTACAAGCTGCTCATTCGACCTTGCTAAAGTCACGCCTCTTTCCCCCACTCTAGACTCAAGTCCACCATTTTACTGCTCAGCCGTTCCACCACTCCCATCCCCCGATCAAATCAGACGAAACCGCGCTTGCTCCGCTCAACGCTCACTCGCTGCGCAGCTGTGCAATCTCGCGGAAGCTTGCACGCTGCCCATTGGACGTTGCTAAAGCCACGCCTTTTTCCCCCGCTCATGACTCTCCCCTACCATCCTACTGCTCAGCCGTTCCCCCACTCCCATCCTCCGATCAAATCAGACGAAACCGCGCTTGCTCCGCTCAACGCTCACTCGCTGCGCAGCTGTGCAATCTCGCGGAAGCTTGCACGCTGCCCATTGGACGTTGCTAAAGCCACGCCTCTTTCCCCCGCTCATGACTCTCCCCTACCATCCTACTGCTCAGCCGTTCCCCCACTCCCATCCTCCGATCAAATCAGACGAAACCGCGCCTGCTCCGCTCAACGCTCACTCGCTGCATACTTGCGAAATCTCGCGGAAACTTGAAAGTTGCTCATTGGACGGTGCTTAAGTCACGCCTCTTTTCCCCGCGCTGAATTCTTCCCCACAATCCTTTCGTCGACGATCTGAATCAAGGTAGATTTACACAGGTATGGACAGAACTAAACAACTGGCCTCTGATGCTGGCTCTCCAGCGGACCCTTAATTTCCGCCATTTTGTATGTTTTGATTATTTTGATTTATTATGTTCGGTTTATCGTGTGTCAAAATTTTGTGGGATTTTTTGCACAATTTTGATAATGCGATATTAATTTTAACGTTTAAACGCACAAACGTTCGAATGTTAATTTGATTGTATAATTTAATTAAAAAAACGGGCCCCTTAACCTACGTCACGTAGTCATGTGACACCTACTGAGGCTCATGGTAAATTTTCAACCTGTCCATACCTGTGTAAATCTACCTTGATCTGAATCGCGAAGTCTGAAATGCACACCTCACTTCACAATTTGCGTAAGAAATTTGCGTTTTTTTGAGCTTCCCGCTTCAAAAACGATACCGCGGCACAGGTGAACATTTCGTTGGAGGAGTTATTCCATCCAAACCCTGCTCACAAGGATACCACGCAATATTCAACATAGCCGACGCCAATCTACCAAAACGCATGTGACGGGACGATGATTCTAACCACCTGATAACAATCGGCGTGTTTACATTCACATTTTTCTCGCATTGATAGATATCCGCCTTGATTGACCTCGTGCTCTCATCAACTTGCGTGGGGAAGCGTCGGCCATGTTGAGCAGGGATTGAATGGAACAATTCCTCTAACGAAATGTTCACATGTGCCGTAGTAACCTTTTTGAAGCGGGAAGCTCAAAAATACGCAAATTTCTTACGCAGATTGTCAAGTTAGGAGTGCATTTCAGACTTTGCCCTCATTGTAAGTTTTGAGACATTATCTATAAGTAACAGTTTTTATTTTGGCTCTAGCAAACGTTTGCAACAGGCCCATCATCAACTTTAATGATAGTATTTTGAAAATATCAAAATTTTAATGGCGTGTCAAATTCATATATGTAGAGTGATTTGTACGCAAAGTCGTGAATGAACTACATTTTGCGATGGGTCAGTTGCGCTGGTCACGGACTCGTGTTTTAATGCTTGATTCTTGTAGATTAGCTGAAAATAATGTCATCTGTCCAGGCGGCATCTCTCTACGTTCAATATTGACAGAGATATCGCGCTTGGAAAATTCGCTTTATGACGTCATCCGCCGTGGTAGTGACACCCTTGGTTTCTTTCAACTTGCATACATTTGTCAGAAAGACATACGTTTGCACATGCAGGTTACTCCGCGTGAAACTCGGATGAATAAGCGACATTTTGTGCAAAAATCTTACAGTTATGTTCTTGTAAAGAATTGAATTGTTCGAGTAAATTTTGCAACCTTGAAAAGGGTCGGGATCTTTTTTCTCGGATAAGCTGATTTATTTTGAACTTAAAAAATATTCTTGCCTCATCCACAATTTATGTTTTGGGGCGGTTTGGCAACGAAGTTTTAAAAGGTTCTGGTTTCTTGGGTAAAAGCGATTCTGTTCGCGACTCGCTTGCGAATCTGGTCTTGGAAATTGGATGAAGCGGGGATGTCCACAAATTCGCATAAATTTGCATTCGTTGATTCAATTTTAGAGTTCAGATTGATTTCGTATGAAACCGCTCAGTATTAGGCTATGATTTTTCTCCCCGCTTGCCAACCATCGAGAGAAAATAGTCTTCATCTTCTTTTCATGTGCGCGACCTCAGAGATTACTCAAAGCTTTGCTTTAATTCAATGGGGTTCTAATCTTACTCTATAATATAAAATCAAATTAGTAACACGAAACGTACAATTCCAGTGGAGCGAAACGCTTCGGGGAATGAATCCATTGTGCTGGTCATAGAATCGTGTTTCGATGCTTGATTCTTGGAGATCAGATAAAAATAATTAGATTCTTCTAAACAGCAACTTTCTACGTTCGATATCAACCGAAATATCGCCCTCTGAAATGCTGGGTTTTTGACGTCATCCACCGCGTTTGTGACACCCTTGGTTTTTTCCATCTTGCTTTCATCAGTCAGTGTAGGTCTCGATAGACGATAAAATTCCTGAACCAATTACCATCAAAGTGTCGGGAGTCATCAGTTTTAAACTCATTAATTTTCTTAATTTTCAAATGAAAACTTGGCAGAAATGTTTCCTGTGGCAGGAAATGATGAATGGTGGCACTCCATTCTAATCTTACTTTGAGCAAATTAGTGCGGCCTGTCAAAATTTGATGGTATATGGTGAACATCAGTCATCAGCATGTCTAGTTTGATCTGAATTGGTTCGGAATTGGATCGTGCATCCAGGGCTTGTGACGCACATTTGCGCTGGTTTTCCACGTGAAACTCAGATGAAAGCAAGGTGGAAGAAACCAAAGGTGTCACCACCGCGGTGGATGACGTCCAAAACCCCTCTTTTCAAAGGGCGATATCTCGGTTAATATTGAGCTTAACAAGTTGCTATTTGAACAGACCTTATTATTTTTAGCTAATCTACAAGAATTATGCATCAAAATACGATTCTATGACCAGCGCAACTAACCCATTGGTGGACCGTGAAGCGGTGAAGGAGCATAGTCTGCACAGTCCCTCTAGTCTATTTTAAATTTTCAACGTGTTCAATACGGGAACCTACCTGATTCAAATCAAAAGACCTTCCAAAAATGTGAGTTGGACTTTAGCCCAACTTTTGATCTATATTATAAGTTTACTATTTTGACCAAACTTTTAAGAGTGGATGTTCATTTGATGATTATTTTTCTGTTTCAGTTTGAAATTGGTAGTCATGAAGTATTCGCAAATAGCGAAGCTATGGAGCGTAGTCTTTTGTATAGTCCTATTATTAGAAGACCTTGTCAATGCAACGCCTTACTATTCTGACTACGATGGTAAGATTGTTTTACGAGTATCAAAAATTTCTTTTCAGTATCATGACTAAGCAATGAAATTTCAAATTAATTTTTTCTTATTTTTCTTTTTTCTGGATAAACTTGAAAGAAAGTTCGGATCTAATGGAATGCAAAAGAGCTGCCCACAAGTTGGAACTGAGAAAAATAAGTTTAAAAGTTTTTTCCATGTGACTCAATATGAAAAAGAAGTTTTAGTTTGTAAATTCACAGACCGAAAAATGTTTTCTTGACTTAAGTTTTTTACGAGAGTTAGTTTACAACTAATTAAACTTAAAATGAATCCTAACTGAATTTTTTTCCCCCATCAATATTGGCATGATGTCTAAATGAGAAGCGCACATGCATGGGGAAGAGGAGAGGAATAAATTCAGAGGCGGCTCCAGCAATTTGACAACACCGGATTTTCTTCATTTAAACCCATGCTGAATAATCGATTCTTAGAGGAGCACCTGGCCCTTCCAAAAATCGATATATTTCCTTAGGTTTAAACGGAGGAAAGACAATGTTGCCAATTTGCTGGATCCGCCAATAATTACTATTCCCTCTCCAGAATACACAGCACCTTTTCGTTTTATTTCTTTTATTTTCTTCTCACCTATACAGATAGGATGTATATTCTGTTTGTTTATTTCTTTTTAAATAATTCAGAATAAATTAAACAAAAAAACCGTGTGAGGAGAAAATGAAGATATGCATATTTCCGCCGTTGGATAATTTTTTAACGCAATCTGAGGAGATATTTTTGTGCATTATTTACAGAGGATACACGCAAAGGAGAGAAATATTATTTTTTGTTCTATGCGTTCACGTTAACCGGTCGTATCTATCAAAAAAGTAAAATGTAACAGAAAATCTCTATCGTCAAAAATTAAGATCATTGGCGGATCCAGCAAAGTGGCAACATTGTCTTTCCTCCATTTAAACCATAATATATCGGAGGAACCAGATACCTACTCCCACAAGAATCGATTATTCAGCATGAAATTAAATGGAGAAAATCCGGTCCTTCCAAATTGCTGGATCCGCCTCTGATGACGATGCGTGGGTTCGTAATCTCATCATCAATTTTTACCTATGGGTAAAAATTACGTTTGGATTAAAGGCAGCTTTAAAATATTTTCATTTTCTTTCCTTCATTTGCCCCTAATTTCTGACATACTGCGCAAAAAAGGTGGGGGCTGACAGATTTTAACGAGGAAATTTCTTAGACCTTTGACTTGAACTGAAGGCGTGGCGAGTCGACTCGTCCTGGTGATGATTTCATCACTCGATTGCTCCCGGCGAAAGTGCAACTTAAAGCTCTCGTTTTCCCGCGCGAATCGAATTGAGTCAAAAACTGCCGCACTAAAGAAATGCCGTATCAGCCTCCAGACGTTGCCAAATTTTCGTTGATAAATTACGAATTTTCAGATGAATTTATGAGTGTTTTCTCCCAAATTTTCCAGGGAATTTCGTTCGTAATCAGATCTGAATTATATGAACATATCAAGAGAGAATATTCATAATTCTCCTCAAAAATAAAAATTTTGGTCGAAAACATGTGGCAACCCTGGAATGTTCATACTGCGTTTTACTTTATACGGCAGAATAGTTGGCGGAAGTTTTCTTTTACGTGAATATTCAATTCTATGCTCCTTCACAGTTGAATTAAAGTCGTTATTTTATGAGACTCTTCATCCAACCTAGACCCTTGAAGCAAACCCATTAGGGTTGCTTCCCGTCTCTCAGCGTTGGTTCTTAACGGCACCAACACCGGGAAAGTGTAAGAATTATTTCTGTTGAAGTAGCCTTAGCTCTGCCGTGCTAGGTAAAAACGCCGTATGTGCCATCAGCAGTTGCCAAATTTCCATAAAAAATAATTCATTTTCAGGAAAATTTGTGTATATTTCTCCTCCAATTTTTCAGAGGATTTTGTCCGTAATTTGGTCTAAAAAGTCTGAAAATCTAAAAGGAAAATATTTATAATTTTCTTCAAAAATTAATGTTTTCAAACAGGAAATTTGGCAAAATTTCAATGCTTATACGACGTTTTTACTTAGCAAGGCTGAGTTGCCGTTTGCGCGTGATTAATGCTGCGGAAGAGGACAATATCGTCACCTTCCGGAAAGTATCACAGGCGCCATTGTTAACAAATTCTAATCTAGGATTAATTTTAGGGGTTCCGCAATTTTCGGGTTTAAAAATAACAATTCAGATCTCAAAAGCTTTCCGAAAAACATCAGTCGTCCATTATTTTATAAATATTTGCTAAATGAATAGAAAACAGTATATCACAAGCGTCATGAGAACTAGACCAGAGCATCACAAGCTCCAAAAATGGACCGTTGATTTGACATTTAGCGAAATTGACGAACCCAAAATTTGTGTTGGTTCGCGGAAAAAATTAAATTGCTGGTTTAACAATTTTGTGGTTGGAAAAGCGACTGCAATGTTTTAATGTAGATTTTACAATAGAAAATGCTAATTTAACCACCTCTGTGGTTTAATTAGATTTCCACCATTGAAAAATGTACTTTTAAAACATTGCAGTCAATTTTTTTAACCAGAAAATTGTTAAATCAGCAACCAAGTTTTTCCGTGTTTGTGTTTCATTTCCTATATTGACCAAAAGTAACACAAGAGCACAAATATTCTCATCAGTGTAGCAGTAACGTGCATCGTAAAAGAAACAACGAAATTATTCTCACTGTTAAAAACCATTTCAAGAATCAAAGCGCCTTCGTGGCTCTTCAATTGGACGTGCTACTGTCAAACAGAACTATGTGCATCATTGCAAGAGCCTTGTAGTGCATATATTCTTATGGGTCTCAGGGCTCACGTCTTAATGCACATAGTTCTGTTCGACAGAAATACGTTCAATTTTAATTTGCATACACCTCTCGCGAAGCTGGTCGCTCATTTTCCATCTCTTCCTTCTTCATTCAAGTAACGAGCCAGGTTCAACAATGGGTGGATTTTTCCAACGCTGAAGTAAGATGCACGCGGAAGAACTCTGTTGCGCAACTAAAATGAGCGAGAGTAATCGAAGAGGCTGAAAAACGCACTCTATTATTCCTCTCCCACTTCATTTTTTCTTTCGCAGCCGTCAATTGTTTCCTTGTTTTGATCGCTCCCTCGTTTTCCGCCTATCTCCCGTCAAAAACTTGTTTGTTTCACGAAACTTCGCCCAGAGTTGCTACATTGAAGTCCGCGAGGCTATAACCTTACTGAGGCTCGAAACTTCCTCGTGAATTTGAGAACATACGAATAAAACAACTTTAAAGCCACGGGGAATCAGATCAGCTTGGATGGTGATCATATTCGACCGGTGTGGGCTCTGAGTTGGATGTATTTATGCTAAAAGGAGCTATGTTACTCGCAATCCTTATGCACATAGTTGCTTTTAGCATAAATATGTTCAGTTTGTATTGCCATGGGCGACAACGCTCCCATTAAAATGGATACACAAGGATACATTTTCGAGGAAATGGAGCGTAAGGGACCCGAACTCGGAAGTTTACCACTGGAAATTTTAAATGCATTGGGATGCCAAGTTTGACTGGCAATGCTATTAAGGACAAAATGATGATGCAAAATCGAGCAGTTTCAGGACAAGCCGGCCGCCAGTCACTTTTCGGCGCGGAACTCAGGTTCTTGGCACATTCACGGAGAAAAAAACTCCGTGCGTGGGACCCGAAGTTTAGGTCATATGGATCTCTGATAAGTTTTCGGATTGAGCATCTGAACACTTCAGGTCCAGCTGCTGAGGTTTGGATCACACATCTGAAGTACTTCAGATGTAAGAACTGAAGTTTCAGGTGTGTGATCCGAACCTAAACAGCTGGACCTAAAGTGTTCAGATGCTCAATCCGAAAACTTCAGAGATCCATATGACCTAAACTTCGGGTCCCACGCACGAGGTTTTTTATCCGTGTTGTATCGAATCGAGGGTCGAAACGATCTCAAAGGAGGTATACTACGCTGCCGTGATAGCGAAGAGAGCCGTAAGTGCAAAATTTTCGAAATCGAATTTTCTTCAAAATTCGTCTAAACTCTTTTAGATGAAATTACTGAGACAGCTAAAACAGCAAAATTCATCCTAATTTACTGAAAACGAGAGGTATGGAAAAGCCGTAAGTGCACAAAAAATGACATAGTTTTTTTCAGGATAGCCGTAGGTGCATGAAATGCAATGAAAACAGTGCTTTCCAGTAAATTGCCGCCCTCTCTGCCAATTTCTAACCTGAAAATGTGTTTGTTGTGCGTCCAAAATGCAACCACGAAAGCATGCAGAAGATAGCACTTACGGCTGTCTTGCCTAACAATAACCTAGCATGAAAATGAAAAATACCCTTTTTTTGTAATGGAAATGAAATCAGTCGATTTTTAATCATCCATACGATTTCTAGGAGTCTTCCGGACGCTTAGTGGCAATTTGACCAAGAACGGAGGCTTCTTTTAATTAAATGTTCTTGTCAGAAGCTTCTGAACCCGTTTTCTCAAAACTTCATTTTTGCACTTACGGCTCTCTTCGCTATCACGGCAGTGCGCTGCCATGCTGCGGAAGGACACCGTATGAGCATTTGAGAGTTGCCAAATTTCCCTAGATAGAGTATGTATTTTTGATGACATTCATGCACATTTTTCCTTGAAATTATCAGATATATCAGATTAAATTGCGAAAAAAATTGTCTGAAATTTTCGGAAAAGAATATTCACAAATTTCGGAGTAATTTTGGTTGTTATCGAAGGAAACTTGGCAACGTCTGGAGGCTCATAGGGCGTTTTTCCTTAGTACGGCAATGCGCATCCGCGCGAACCAGTGGCGTGGCGTCTTTTGCGACGGATCGATATTTCCCCATTTGCAGCTATGGTAAAAGATCGATTATTAAGGTTTTCGCTGCGAACACCCTGTTTATCGATTCTTTTTCACAATTTTAAATGGCTGGTCAATCGATACATCGCATAGCACGCCACGCTACTGGCGCAAACAAACAAAT